TATTGTACAATGAGGCTCTCTGGAGTCTCAAAAGGGGCCAATTGTAATTTACTGTCCTCTGCTCCCTGTGTCACCAACAGAGCTCAGCACAGTCAGCAGTGGAGGACAGCGAGAGGATCTTCACTGAGATGATCCGCTCTATTGAGAGAAGACGCTCTGAGGTGACAGAGCTGATCAGAGATCAGGAGAAGGCTGCAGTGAGTCAGGCTGATGGACACATGGAGATACTGGAGCAGGAGATCAATGAACTTAAGAGGAGACACTCTGAGCTGGAGCAGCTTTCACACACAGAGGATCATATACATTTCCTTCAGGTAACAGAACAGCTATTTTCACAATAGGAAAACCAGATTATGCAAATGGATGTATGTTTTCATATGTTTTCATTAGAGATGGCACCGATCTGATACCCACTATCGGTTTCGGGCTGATACCGGCAAAAAATGCTGGGTCACATATTGGGGGCACAGGGAAGTAAGAAACCAACCCGATTTTCCATCAGAGAGGACTTGCTTGTAGCCTTAGGGGACGTACAGTAAACAGAAGAGAGGGTTGCTTGACAGCTACTGTAGCTGTTCAGCAAGGTACTATTACCTATTGAGTAATTAAGCATAATTCCTTAGTAGTGAATAGTACTAATTTAGGTGTTAATGAAGCACTACTCCTTTGTTGCTGCTTGCTTCCTGCATATTTACCTGTTAAATGCGGAACAGTATTATAAAGTTTTACCAAAAAATGAAAACTATATCAAGGTAAAAAAAAAAAATGTCAGACTTCAACAAAGCAAAACGCACCGCCACATTACTGACATCTTCTTAAGACAAGATAAGACAAGACAAGATAGGATAAGAAGAACTTTATTTGTCCCGAGGGAAATTCTTTTGTCTTTTTACATTGTTTATCCACAATATCTCCTCTTTTAAAAGATGCTCTGGTTGCTGAGCTGTCCCTGTCTTGACTTCAGTGCTTATGGCTTCCATGATTTACCAAAACAAGTGACGTGATCCGCTAATCGAATTTAATAAGCATAAGGATACACCTAATTTATACAGATTACTAACTTTTGGCATACAACTAATTTGCTTTGTTGGGGGTGAAAATAATGTCTGTATTGTCGGCATCCATTGTCTAAAGCTCTGCATTCACATTCAGATTGTTGTCAAAATAAAATTAAATAAAATGATCTGTTTGGTTTTCTGGAGGAAAATGAATCGTTTAGATGAATCAATAGATTAATGCATTCTTTCTAAAGTTTGGCTAATTACTGTTTGCCATTGTATATTTTATACTAGAGCCTTATGGGCACTTTTTGANCGAGTTGCAGCCAGGACTTCAGGTAAACGTGGTTTTATTTGACGAACGACGGACATCTACGGACAATACAATGACGAGTCTGGGGAAGACTGACTCAGACGAGGACTAAATACAAAAGACAAGCTAGACATAACAGGACACAGGTGATCACAATCAGGGCTGAACATGAGGTAACGAGGTGGGCGTGGCGGAGCGGACGGAGCGGGGTGTGACATCTGGTTACATCTGATCCAGTTAGAAACATATTTATCCTAATTAAAAATATCCATTATCATACCTGCACATTAAAATCAGCAACAGATCTAAATAACATTATTCTGAAGAAAGTATATGAGCTGGCTATTCCATTTCAACTAAATTTAACTCACAAACAGCTAGCCTAACAGTACTTCCCCATATTAGCAAAATATTTGAGCATCGTAAATTAAATATAATAACTTACATACATGGTATGTGCATGTAATACTAGCACAGATGAAGTATAGAGTTAACTGTCTAAACTGCGAATTGATCTCTCTAATCTCATTACTGTAAGTTAACTGATGTCGTCGGCACCTCGTTAACTTACACAGCGGATAATAAACATTACTCAGCAAACAAACCTTATAATAAACTATAAAACGTATTTCAAATATGATGTTCTATTATTCGTCTTACCTTGAAACCATGCTCTTATCTTCGGCTCGTCTTTGATTTGAAAATAGCTTGAGCAGCGTTGCCGGCAAAATTCAAAAACTTCTTTAGACAAATGTGATGTCAATCAGCATCAGGAACTGCCAGCAGCAAATAAAATTTTGGGGTGGCACCCGGGGTGGCCAATCGGATGTCAGGGGTGTCCAGTGCCACCCCGGACACAGCTCTGGCTCCGCCACTGACTATCAATTAATGGGTATGATTTAGTGTTTTTTTGTGCTATAGTATAGGCTGAAACCTGCGGTTATCATTAAAAACAAAATGTGGTACACAAACTTTAATTTGTGTACGCCAATAAATATTAACAGGAATGTTAAATCTGCATTTGCATAATTTCAAACGTATGCTGGACTTTTATTTTTAATTGATTGCTCTTTTTTCTCCCACAGTGGTGAAATTGCACCATTTGTATTTTGTAATTGCATTTGTTTCGCTCAATTAGAAAAGGGAGTTGTATTTCAAATAAAGTTTGGTTCTGAACCTGTGTAGTTTGAATAGGGGGGCTCAATAATGTTCCTATCTAGAAAAGGGGGGCCCTGAAGAGAAAGTTTGGGGACCACTGCCATAAGGGAAGGGTGGGCAGCCACCTGGGGCCCTGAAAACTAGGGTCCCCATGAAGACAGAATTTCCAGAATTTACATTTAGGAATATAACATAATCTGATCATGTAAATGACAGCAACATGCATGTTATTTGCATTTTTAGCGACAGTTTTCAGGATAGACAAATTTGCCCTTGTCCCAGCTGTAATGGATTGTTGTACTTTGAGACTTTGCTCCACCAATTGTCACTGCAAAGGAAACTGATACAAAGTAGCCTAACAAGAAGAGAATGGCACAAAGATACAAGACTAACATTAGACTAACAAGACTGACACCCTGACCGGTAAGTTTTACTGCTGGTACCCCACGTTTTGATTACAATATCATTGTTGTTCCATTGTTTTTAATTCCCTCTCATTTCCCTTTCGGCTCTAAAAATGTCTCCAATGGCCCACTAAGGGGGGCCCTATTCTTGTCAGCTTAGGGCTCCCAGAGGAGTTAGTCCATCCTTGTAAACAAGCATTGCATTTCTTACTTATGTAATTTGCGCAATATTCTATTTAATTCATCAACTCCAACTCCACTGTTTGCCCAGTCTGCTCTTCTCAGTCTGGCCTCAGTCCAAAACCACACCTACAGCAGCCTGAGAAGCAGGAAGTTCCTCCCACTCTCACATACAGACGACTGTGAGAGAAAAGAAATCTGTATTAATCGCAAAATGGCACAAGCCGATCTGGATCCAAACCAGTTTAGCTGTCCGATCTGTCTGGATCTACTGAAGGATCCAGTGACTATCCCCTGTGGACACAATTACTGTAGGTGCTGCATTAAGAACTGCTGGGATCAGGAAGATCATGGTAGAGTTTATAGCTGCCCCCAGTGCAGACAGACCTTCACACCCAGACCTGTTCTGGGCAGAAACACCATGCTAGCTGAAGTGGTGGAGAAAATGAAGATAACTGGACTACAAGCGCATACTTTTGCTGACTGTTATGCTGGACCTGGAGATGTGGAGTGTGATTTCTGTACTGGGAGAAAACACAAAGCTGTCAAGTCCTGCCTGGTGTGTCTGGCCTCTTACTGTGAAACTCACCTCCAGCCTCACTATGAGTCTCCAGCTTTTAGGAAACACAAACTGACTGATGCTACTGGACATCTGGAGGACAAGGTCTGTTCCCACCATGACAAACTCCTGGAGGTCTACTGCTGTACTGACCAGCAGTGCATCTGTTATCTCTGTACAATGGATGAACACAGAGGCCATGATACAGTCTCAGCTGTTACAGGAAGGGCAGAGATACAGGTAAGGAGACTTACCTTTATATTAAATATGAGTTTTTTAGGTAACGTGTTGCAAATAATTTTTTTCCCTATCCTTATGTTTGTAAGTATTTTTGGTTTGAAGATACAGAGATCAAGCCTGGACAGGTAGAGCAGAAATGAAAGGAATATACATAGAAAATACATTAGTGAAAAATTTCCATAATTGATTAAGCTGAAGTATTAGCACCTTCACTATTATCAGTAGCTGTGTTCTCAATGGGGCAGAATTGTGTCAAGATGTTGTTATAAAGTGTAAAATGTGCTGATGGAATCCCTGCTGAAAACTCTTTCAAACAGTGAGTCATGTGGCTGTAGCTGGATACATACAGTAAACAACAGGGTCAAGAGGTTCACTTACTGTTTGAAGGAGCATCTGAATGGCTGAGATGTGTGAGCTAAGAGTGTTTAAATATGGTGTGATTGTTGGTGCCAAACGTGGTGGTTCCAGCATCTTAGAAATCGCCACCATCCTGGGATTTTAACACACTGCAGTGTGTAGAGTTTACTGAGGATGGTGCAGTAAACATAAAACACCCAGACTGGCAGTTATGTGGGTGATAACATACAATTCAGGACAGAATGGCCAGACTTGTTAAAACTATCAGGAAGGTCACAAGTGCAAAAAGCACAGCTCAGTATAACAGTGGTGTGCAGAATGGCTTCTCTGAACAAGCAACTGATCTACGCTTGAAGTGGTTCTGGAGGGAATGTGCGTCCTAGCAGGTATTCCTAGGGTGTACCTAATAAAGTGGCAACTAGGCATATCTATCACACAGGTATTCCCCGCTTTACAAACATAAAGCATTTCAATTAAACTATTGTTAAGCCGAAATGGTGTAAAACAAAAAAGCAGTTACTATTAACGGTAACACATTATAATAATGTTCAGTTATACCACACATATAAGCCTTTAGTGAAACATTAACTAATCATTTACCTCAGTAAGACATTCAGAAGCCTGTAGTTACTGATGAACAAATCATTTACAAATTCTCAATAAGACATTTATAAGCATAATACTGTAGTTAAGGGCTAACTAATCATTTGCAAAACCTTAGTAAACATTTATAAATGATTAAAGCAGGAAATGATCATAAATCATTCCTAAATGATTACTAAGCCTGTAGCTAATGATGAACCAATCATTTACACATTTTTAAATCATTTAGTAATAATTAAGCAATAATGATTTGGAAACCATTTTCCATGAATATCATATCTATAACAATCTATAAACACATTCATAACACATTATTGCCATGTTTATTGTGTATTATGAATGCTTTATGAAGGTCTCATCTATAATACACTATAATCCATCTGTCGATCTTCTGCTCTCTTTTTCCCTCACTCGTGAACAAGACCCCGGGACCCTTGAACTCCTCTGCTTGAGGCAGTAACTTACCTCCCACCAGTAGAGGGCAATCCACTCTCCTCCGGTCGAGAACCATAGCCTTAGACTTGGAGGTGCTGATCCTCATCCCAGCCACCCCACATTCAGCTGCAAACCGCCTCAGTGTCGGCTGCAGGTCACAGCCTGATGACGCCAACAGGACCACAAAAATTGCAAAAAGCAAAGACGCAATCCTGAGGTCCCCCAACTGGACCCCCTCCACCCTCCAAATCAATGAGACTTCATCCAGTTTATCCTACCTACAGTCAATAAATCATTTAAGAATATCCATCCATCCATCCATCCATCCATCTCCTAACCAGTAATCCAGGTCAGGGTCACAGAGAGCGCCTGGATCCTTTCCCAGGCAGCATAGGGCCCAAGGCTGGGGTCCACCCTGGACAGGATGATTAATGAATATGATCCCAGCTAATGAAACAAACTTGTTTTATCTTTTTTCTCTATATACAGAAACAAATAGGAGAAACAAAGAGATACTTTCAGCAGAGAATTGAGATGAGAGAGAAGGAGCTGCAGGAGCTGAGAGAGGCTGTGGCCTCAATCACAGTGAGTATGAACCTGAGGAGAAGATAATAGCTGGCTTGTGATCATCTTTAGTCAAGACTTCTCTCTCAAAGTCAACAGATCACAAATTTTTTAAATTTATGCGGATTAATGATATTGAAGTCACTGTGGGTTACTCTGGGTCAGAGGTCTGGTGGGACAAAGGTGCCAGATAACAGAGTTTAACTAACCTGGGGTGACAGGGGTTAACATATTGAGTTGGAAAAATATCATTTAAGGCCCATTTGAGAAAATACAACTCTTCACAACCAAGTGTAATGCAAATGAACACTAAAAAGTCACATATTAAACTGAGACCCTATGGTGACAACCAACCTGCCCCATACAGCCACCAGTCTCTGCCAAATCCCTGCAGCTGACAGTGTATGAGCTTAATGAGGGATCATTTCCAATCAGTGCTGGCTGGGTTTCAGTACCTGAGGCATCCAGCATCGTGACGCTCCAAACCCCAGCCCTGTGCTGTTTTTATATCTCCTGTCAGCTCACATCACTATTGTACAATGAGGCTCTCTGGAGTCTCAAAAGGGGCCAATTGTAATTTACTGTCCTCTGCTCCCTGTGTTACCAACAGAGCTCAGCACAGTCAGCAGTGGAGGACAGCGAGAGGATCTTCACTGAGATGATCCGCTCCATTGAGAGAAGACGCTCTGAGGTGACAAAGCTGATCATAGATCAGGTGAAGGCTGCAGTGAGTCAGGCTGAAGGGCACATGGAGATACTAGAGAAGGATATCGATGAACTGAAGAGGAGACATTCTGAGATGGAGCAACTTTCACACACAGAGGATCACATCCATTTACTGCAGGTAACAGAACAGCTACTTTGGCAATAAGAAAACCAGAGTATTCAAATGCATGTATGTTCTCATTTGTATTTCAACTAGTCTGTCATTTGTCAGATGTTAAAGGTCCTGTTAATTTGAATTGAAATCACATTTGTTTTGATGAAGCTGATTAATCAGACCGTATGCCTGTAGAAGTGCCAGGGTCTTCCTGTCACCCCTCAAGCTGAATCTGGACACAAAATCTCAGTTTATCCACGCTGCTCTTTGGAGAATGTGAGGAAGGAGGTTTCTAAACTGAAGGATCAACTGGAGAATGTTTGCGAAAAGAAAACAGCAGAGATCCATCACACAGGTTAATGAATGAATACATTTTCCTGTCTGTTCATGTTAACAAAGACCATGCAGAGAGAGTATACAGTACAGTCGGTGTCACTTTTGTGTGACCAAGTCAGTTTCTGTTTTCAAGACTAAATCGTTCAGTAAACTAGTGAACTCCAAATTTTACAAGCTGCAAAACCAAGATCACATGAATCATGTGTTGTCTATATTATATAACTCAAAAATCAAAAGCAGTTTGTTAAAATGCCTGTTATTGTCCCTCATAATAATAATACCCTACTGCTGTTGTCTCCACAGTGAGTGAAGTCCATCTCCCACAAGTAAATTCCTTTTACTCACATCCCTGTTTCTCTCTGTCTCCTTCTAGTTACCAAAGACACCATCCTATTGGTATTAGTGTTCAGGACCAGAGCAGAATTCTTACAATGTGAGTCTGTTCACACACACGCTTCTCTCTCCCTGTATGAGGTAGAGTGTGTTTTATTGTGTTTCATTTTCTTCTGCTAGTGGAGCTTCTCTTTCTCTCTCCCGCTGCCTCCTGGTCTTTCACATTTACATGAGCTATTTATGTCAGGAGCCTTTGAATCTGTTTGCAATGTGGCTGCTGATGTTTAATATTATTTTGCTTATCATGTTATTCTCTGAGGCATCCCTGCTGTGAATATGACCTTATAAACATGAACGGCTAAACATTCATTTATTTATATATTTTTATCTAAATACTTTTGAAAGTGTTAAAACATACCAAAAATTGCACAACTCTTGTTTAATATAATGAGTGAATGAGACCAAAACATTATCTTCCGATCTTCTCTTCTATCAGATTCCTGTCAGCTCACTCTGGACCCCAACACAATAAACAATAACCTCCATCTGTCTGAGGGGAACAGAGTGGTGACATGGAGGAGAGAGACAGAGTCATATCCTGATCACCGGGAGAGGTTTGACTCCCCCAATGTGCTGTGTAGAGAGAGTCTGACTGGGCGCTGCTACTGGGAGGTTGACTGGAGCGGGACTATGGTCGGTATCGCGGTCGCATACAAAGGAATCAACAGGAAAGGATGGGATGATGACAGCTGGCTTGGACGCAATGACAAGTCCTGGTGTTTGTACTGCTCAACCTCCAGTTACTCATTCTGGCACAAGAATGTGAAAACTGCAGTATCTGGCCCCCCCTCCCCCAGGATAGGAGTGTACCTGGATCACAGGGCAGGAACTCTGTGCTTCTACAGCATCTCTGATACAGTGACCCTCCTGCACAGGGTCCAGACCACATTCACTGAGCCCCTCTATCCTGGGTTTGTTCTTTGGAGCAGTACAGCTAAACTGTGCCGACTATGTTAACAGGTTGTTAAAAGTATCCCAACAAAAATAAAGTAATTAATACTAGAAAACATGACAACTGGCAGTGAAATGTTTGCGGCCAGTGAACCATCAAATACTAGAAAACATGAGACAGACTGGAAGACAGGGAAATGAAGAGGTTAACTGGCGCAAACAACAGGAGGCAACAGGGCAACTAGCCTTTGAAGAAACAAGGTGACCCAACTGGACAGACTGAGAGGAACCCTTCTTGGCTCTGGGACTTCTCCCGAGGAACCCTCATAGTTCTGGGACTCAAACCCAGACAGGGACCAACAGAAAAGACGAGGACTGACCCGAAAGGACAGGCTCAGAACAAACACAACAAGGCAATTAACAAGGCTGGAGCACGCAAGTACACAGATGGGTGGAGGTTCAATGACTGAACCAGGGTCGCAAGAAACACTTGGCTTAACTAGACATAGTTGTAGGAGTGGCATGAAAATCTATTGTGGAAAATGGGGAAATAACGAACATGAAAGTAAATATAAAAAAATTATACAATTATACAGATGTCATATGCATATCAGTCATTCACTGATAGAAATATAATACTCAAGACTTTAGTAAGTAGCTAAGATTTCTGTTAACAACAATGGGTTTATACAGTAAATTGCACAAAATAATTCATTAAATGAAATGAAACAAATCAAAAGAAAATTGTTTTGTGAAAGAGTGATTTTTACATGGTGACTTAGATTATTGGAGAGATTAAAACCAGTATAAATTCCTTCGTGCTTTTGCCATATACAGTACCTGTGTGAACAACTAACGATGATTATTTTAGTGGGATAATTCCGAAGTCTTTAAATCATTTATCTATTTTATCCAGTTTGAATTTGGAAAACCAGCAAATTAATAAATGTTCTAGCAGTTTACGAAGTTTTCTTATCCTGACTATTATTCTCCATGTTGCAATTATATAAATACAGTGGCACCTCAGTTCTCAAACTCATTAGAACTTGAATTTCTTAAAAGTCGAACCAACCACTTCGGAAAAAAATGACCTAGTACTTGACCTGAATCTCAGAAGTCAAACCGTGAACGCCGACGTAAGATAACTTGTATGCACGGGGAAATGAGTTACGCGGCACGTCTCTGAGGAAACAAAGGGTAAAGCTTCAGTCTCAGCCTCGCATTAGCTGTGATAGCACCTTGCATCTACTAGCTGAATACATATATTTAGACAGTAAAAATACATTTAGACAATGATAGACAGTAACTGTCACGTTCACGTCCAGGGAGTAGGCGAGGAATAATGGTTGGGAGACGAAGATGAGCAAAATAAGGGGTTTTAATGGAGTTTAAAACAACAAAAGGCAGCAAACCAGGGAATGACAGGGAAAACTAAGCTCAAGACATAAACTAACAAGACACGAACTTAGAGAACATTAATGACAAGTCTGGCAAGTAAAGGTAAGACACGGACTGAAATACTAAGAAACTAATTAAGAAACACAAAACAGATTGAGAGAAGCGCAAATTCCACACATGGGTAATTAGGGGCGTGGCACACATGAGGAATGCTGGGCTGGGCGTGACAGAACTCCCCCCTCACCGAAGGCGCGCACTCCGGGCGCGCCCCAGGGCAGGGGCCGAACAGGAAACAGAGAACCTAGAAGACAAAAAAAAAGTCAACGAAGAACCGGGGACAGAACAGGACCCGCAGACAGCCACCAAGCGACGGCCAGGGGACGCACGGGCGAGCCAGGGGGCAGGACGGGCGGGACCCGGGCCCGACGCCTGTGTCCCCTCCCCTTACGGGACACAGAAAGGCGGGGTCCTGGGGAGTGTCGGCCTCGCTGGGGCAAGGGTGATGGAGTCACTGGAGCCGCAGCGGATGGAGGCTCGGGCAGAGCAGGGGGCGTGGCGGCAGGCGGTGCAGCCGGAGAGACAGGCAGGACGGGCGAGCCGGGCTGGACAGGCAGGACGGGTTGGGCCGCGGGCAGAGCGGCGGCAGCAGGCAGCACTGGAACAGGCAGGATTGGAGCTGGCAGGTCCGGAACGGGCGCAAGGATGGGCGCTGGGTGAGCTGGCGCTGCCCCTTTTAGGGCCTTGGGAATCTGGGGAATGGCGTCCCAGACGGCCCTAGCCCCCCTATTGAATAGGCGCGATGGCCGGTGGTGGTAAGCCTCCAAGGGAGGCGGCTGCTCGTCGGCGGGGCTGGCAGCGGGAGCGTCCTCCCGGAAGATCGGGAAGTCCCCCTGCCAACTGGCAGGGATGTAAGTGGGGCGGAGGGAGCATGCCCCCACGAAGATCGTCGGGGCTTCTGCTCCTATTTTTCCCCTGCGCTTCTTCCTCTTAGGTAGAGAGGGGCCCTCTGGGACCCAAGGCAGGTCCTTACACTGGGTTCTTTGCCCAGGCAGTTCCCCAGAGCTGGGGAGCTGAGCGGCCGAAGCCGCGTTAAGCTCAGTCTTGCACTTTGGAGGAGTAGTCTCTGGCTGTGCGGCCGAGCCGTTTCCTGATGTCCTCCAGCTTCAGCTCGTCATGTAAGCCCAGCTGGATCCCACAGTCTGTTAGACGGGCTTGTTACCACGACCCAGATGGGTGTCATCAGCCTGTGGAATCGGCACCAGCATGTTGCTGTGACCTTTTACTCCCCAGATTTCTGCACCACATCACTTTAATTCGTGTGATGCCAATTAATGGCATGTCGATTAAATTACAGTTAAATGCTGTGCAACTACAAGCCAGAGTCAAGGAAGAATATTCATTCTGCCACATCATCAGACATCTTAGAGACATTGTCAGCTCAGAGGGGGGTGGGGAGCAGCTTACCCACCACCACTGACATCTACATCACCAGATGCAGGAGAAGGGCTTCCTGCATTATGAGGGACCCCTAAACCTAACCCCACCCACCCAGCACACAAACTGTTTGTTCCTCTCCCCTCAGGCAGGAGGCTGAGGAGCATCAAGAGTAGGACCAGACTGTGTAACAGCTTCTTTCCAGATGCTGTAAGACTGCTGAACTCTGCCCCAGCCCCCGCACAGATTCACCCTCCCCCCCATCTCCACCACACAAAAAGACTAATAGACTATAACCCCCCTACCCCCACCTCCAGCAGACCAAAGTGACATATAACATATAACATGTGCAATACACTCATATGTGCAATGTTCCCCATAACATAGTATTTAAATTATCACCACCAAGCGAAGTGATATTAACACGTGCAATAAGCCCATATGTGCAATGCTCATTATAACACAGTAACTAAGTTATTACTATTATATAGCAAATTACCTGGATCGGTTTTATGTTGCATCCATTCTATGTCTGCTTCTGCGTATTGGACACTGTACATACTGCTAACTTAAACTCCATACTTAATACTCCAATACCTTTATATTTAATTTTTATCTTTATAAGTGTGTGTGACTAGCTCTGTGGCTTATCCGGGACCTGAGTACTTACTTTTGCTCCATGGCATGTGCAAACATGAATGGAATGACACTAAAGTCTCTTGATCTTGAATTTATTGCCCATACCATGTTGATGGTTACTGCTTCTTGCTCCTGATCTTGCAGACACACAGCAACCAAGCGAGAAGCAAACAAAACCAACACAATCAAACCACACTGCTACCCATTACAAAAAAGAACAATGCAAAAAATGAAAAAAGAAAAACTATTTACATGGGCCCATGATAAAAAACTTTAAAACATGTATCCCAGAATCTGGTCAATAGTCCACAGTTCTTTTTGGTTGATATCGCGTTGCCTCTGATCTGAAAAAGTAGCAAAGAATGAAATACCCAGACCTTCTTCTATTTATGCCCACAAACGCACAAAACAAGATAAGCAAACATTCCTTGAAAACACTAAGCTGCAATATCGCCTTGCAATTAAACAATGTCCAGTCCAGCAACTTATCGTTCTCCATCAATCCTGATCACTCCATCTCTTCCCACCAAATTTTCCTCTCCCACCACCTACCATACCCCATATCTGCCACAGCCACATCCTCCTCTGCCCCCCAGCAGCACTTCCAGAGCAGAGCAGCCAGCCACCAAATGCTGGGCACCTTTCCAGTGTTTTATCTCTCTGTTCCTGATCACTGTGAACCTGAATCTCCTTCCTGAGACAGATACACTCCCAGCACAGAAACAGAAACAAAATGAAGAAATCCGACATTTATGTGCCAGATCTTTCATTATCCTGTGGATTATGTTGAACAATGTAAAAATCAATTCCGATTGCTTGTTCCATTTGAACCTGGCACAGTTTATCTATAATTGCACATACCTGCGTGTTACAACTGATACCATAGCTTTAAATCCCATCAGCTTTTTGCTTTTATTCCACTTTATATGTGGTGAAAAGCAATTAAAGAAGACAGGAAGGCACATGGAGACTGATTCCCAAGTGAGGGTGTTTACACGTCACCTGCCTCCGCTACTGTGGAATGAGCGAGAGCCCAAAAAGACGGAGGGACAGAAAATACATAAGGTAATAGAGGAAAATGAATGCAATTTTACCCTCAACTATTACATTAATTTAGTAAACTCGACCATATGAGACAGACATTGATAACATACCTGCACAGACTACAAAAAATCATATACAGATGCCGTAAATTACCTGGGCTCCTCAAATGCACACAGTACGTCCTCATTACAACCACGTATATTTCAGACTCCTTACAGACAGATAAATACTGGATTATAATGAAATCAAATACAATTTAATAATGCCTAACTACTGAATTTGTCAACAAGTATTTGACTACAAGAACCCAGACATAGCCAGTTCACATAAACAAAATTGTAATCATTACATATTATAAACTTGCCTAAATTCCCATCTGTATTGATCTTACACTTTGAACGATTGCAATAATACTTTTCTTAAACTGGGTCAAAAAGTATGCTGAAGCCACCCATTATATTTACAGTTAACCACATACTCATATTTATTACATAGTTCATATCTCCCGCAACCACGGCATGAGCGGAAAAGCATGAGAAAATGGAGACACTAGATGCACCTCCTGGGATCAGTCCATTCCAACTACATAGCGCTGAGGCCGTGAAGGTCACTTTCAATCATATTTTATAGTAAACATGCTGGGATCTTCCCCAATTTCAGATTAGTTCTTCCCAATTTGTATGTTCACTATGCACTTCTGTGACTTATTTAGCACAGGAGTGATGGTGGCCTTGAAGCACATGGGGATGACTGTCTGTCTCAGGGAAATGTTAAAGGTGTCTGTGGAAACACCTGCCAGCCAGTTTTGCACTTTCACTGAGCATGCGGATATGTATACATGCTGTCTTACTCTACTCTAAGCAGAGATTTTCTCACGTCGCTGTGGAAAAACACAGTGCCTGTTCAGGAGGAGGGATGGTCTTCCTCACAGGCATGTCTTTCAGGGAATTCATGAACTTCATTTCCAGTGTTTGCCCAGTCTGCTCTTCTCAGTCTGGCCTCAGTCCAAAACCACACTTACTGCAGCCTGAGAAGCAGGAAGTTCCTCCCACACACAGACGACTGTGAGAGAAAACGAAACTGAATCCTATCAGTGTTCGTGGTAAAATGCCAGAAATCAGTGTCACAGTAAATCAGAACCAGTTCAGGTGTCCAATCTGTCTGGATCTAGTGAATGATTCAGTGATTATTCCCTGTGGACACAGTTACTGTATGAGATGCATTAAGATCTGTGGGATCAGGAGGATCATGCTGGAGTTTACAGCTGCCCCCAGTGCAGACAGACCTTCATACACAGACCTGTTCTGGGCAGAAACACCATGCTGGCTGAAGTGGTGGAGAAACTGAAGAAGACTGGACTACAGGCAGCTACTCCTGCTGACCATTATGCTGGACCTGGAGATGTGGAGTGTGATGTCTGTACTGGGAGAAAACACAAAGCTGTCAA